GAGAGATATAGCACGTTGAAGTGCAGCACCGCTGTCGTATTAATTTGACTAAGCGCCTCTCTCGCGAAGCAAATAGTTGAACTAATGAGGAGATATGGAATGAGTGATATGTATTATCCTGTGATGGTATCCTTCTATGCTTGATACCTGTGCACCTTGAGTTACCCCCCCCCCCCCCAAACACGACGGTACATAACACAAACTTTCTGGTGCAGTTTTGCAGGGCTTTTTTTGGCAGCTTATGTACTACTGAGGACAAGCTCTTTTGTATATGCTAGCATGTTAGTTTTCATTCTTATTCCTGACATTCAAGACTCATGTAAGATTACGATCTGCATGGCATGTACCTTGTTGATAATAGTGTTAGTAATGGGTTTTTGGTCCCACATTAGTTGTGAGAACACACCTCACCCTCCTCTACTTATATAAACATATGTGCACACTCAATATTCAACTTAAAGGAAATTTACCCAAGACTCTCTCTCTTACTTTATCATGCCTATAATCTAGATAATTAAACTGACTACTGAAAATGACAGAGCAGTAGAAGGTTGTAACTTAACATGTCTAGCTTGCTTACATGTTGATGTTGATCAATATCCATTGATACAGTTCTTATTGTGTTCTTTCATTGGCAGATGTAGGATTTTGTGCCAGTGGTATCCCTGTATAACTTATTATTTCTCTGAAAGTGGCTTTGGCAATTTATTTAAAAACATAATCAGAGAAAATTTTACAGTTTTATCCTTCTTATTGGTGTCTTAAAATAATCTTAGTGGTGTCCTAGGTATAGTAAATACAATTAGCAACCTAATGGTATCCTACGACACCAATAGACCCTATGGAGATCCACCACTGCATTTTTCGATTTATTCATATGATATTGTGTAATTTTTTTTATTTGGGTAATGGAGGAGATCCATTTATACTATACTAATAGGTTCTACTTCAGATCGTTATTGGGAGAGTACTGTAATAAATTATATTAAAGTACGAAGACTATACAATAACACTTTTCTTTGGCTATTTTTTTGTCCTACTATAAGCTTGTTATCTAATGACGTTTTTCTTTTGCAGATCCAGCAGCGAAAACGTCAAAAAGAGGTCCAGTGATTTCCATTTCATTCCCTCCTATTGCATATTGTTTTTGACTTGATCGACTTCAAAAGAAGTACATGTGCCTAATGATAAGGCCCAATAACTGCTAAACAGCGAGGTAGGAATATTGGCAGCCAATGCAGGCATATACTGCAATAGAGTAGCACCAGCTGCTCTGTGATGGAGTCATGGAACTCGGAAGGTATTGATTTTGTACTTTAATCATCCAAGATGCTATAATTTCTTGACCCAGAAAGAAAAAAGCAACCGAAATGACCAGCTAATACAGATCCTTCACATGTCTATTTGCTTTCTTGATTACTTGCAGATACCTAAAACTTCTCTACACTGGAACCTGAGATCTATAAAGTAAAGGGAGGCAGCAAGGACTGAAACAAACCTGATCATGTGGCCATCAATCTCGAAACCCTTCCCCTCCGGCTGAACGACCCCAACCGACCTCGCCTGTGGCCCAAACGGCCACTTCTGCCTCGATGCTCGGTAATCGGTGCCTGCCGATTTTGGAACTGGAACTACAAACCGATCCTTATAGTGCGCAATTTCCATAGCATCAAGATCAACAACCACAATGATCCCCTCCAAAGGCCTCACATAGAAGTTAACTGTATCCCCAGTCACAAAACAAAGTACCTTGATAGTTCTCTTCCCTTGCTTCACCTGGCCGAACCATCCTACTGTAAATGTTCTGCACACAACATCCTTCATCTGCACTCTTCTCCTTTTTACTGATTCAATGAACGGTGTGTAGTTCATTGGCAGCTCAGACGCTGCGGCTAGTTCTTCCTTGGTCAATGCTGGGTAGCCAAAACCTTCATAGATGTGATTGGAGATTATACGTTTGTTGGTTATGTCGATGTAAATTTCATGTGTTTGGTTGGCAGAGCGAACAATGACGAAGGCTCGTCATGGTGGTGGAGGGGCGTCAGAGGCGATGCCAAGGTAAGAGAGCATTGTGGGCTTATCAGGTTCATCTAGACCGACATAATGGAAGCTTTGGGTTTTTGATGAGCCAAGATTAGAGGACTTGATGATATACGCAATGGTGGTGATTTCGGACAGAGTTAGGGGGTCAAAGGGGTGGCCATGGCCTAAGGTCAAGCAAAAGAAGAAAGGTAGGATAGTGAAGAGGGGAGCCAAGTTCATTTTAGAGTGAGAGGGAGAGAGATGAAGTGTGTTTGTCAGAAGAGGATATGTATATATATATATGAAGAAAGGTAGGATGGTGAAGAGGGGAGCCAAGTTCATTTTAGAGTGAGGGAGAGAGATAAGTGTGTTTGTCGAAAGAGATTACTATATATAATATTATATATATATATATATATTAAATATATATATATATATATATAATATATATATATAAATATATATATATATATATATTATATATATATATATATATATGAGAGATGAAGTGTGTTTGTCAGGAGAGTAAATATATATATACACTCTTCTGACAAACACACTTCATCTCTCTCATATATATATATAATATAGGGAAAAGTGAATCTAAGGTGACACCCTAGGCTCCCACCTAAGGATGCGGCCTAAAATCATATCATTTTCTAATTTTTTTACGATCGCTCCGTTGAACTTGATCTACACGTTCTCAAACCCAAACACACCAATTTTGGGTGAACCCGTCGTGTTTTGACCCTTTATCCACTCGCTGCAATTTTAATGGTTTCGGATGAATAGAACTTTTGGCACGGCTCAACGAATGGTCAAAACACGACGGGTTCACCCTAAAATTGGTGTGTTTGGGTTTAAGAACGTGTAGATCAAGTTCAACAGAGTGAATTGCAAAAAAAAAATTTAGGAAATGATGTGATTCTAGGCCGCGTCCTTAGGTGGGAGCCTAGGGTGTCACTTAGATTCACTATGAGAGAGATGAAGTGTGTTTGTTAGAATATATATATATATATTATATAAATATATATATATATATATATATATAGAGAGAGAGAGACGAGAGAGAGATGAGAGATAAAGAGTGCAATTTTGGTATTGTCTATTACGAATTAGCAGCTCTCACGCCTTCCTTCCCCACCTACCTCCACACCTAACGTGCTACAGTACCACCCTCACCTACCCCCATATCTAATTGCTACAGTACCACATAACTATGCCTGTATATATACCCCCTAAATGTTGTGTTAAGAATTATCACAAGCCATTGAGAAAGAAAGGAAGAGTGAAGAGCTTGTGATCCAGAGAGGGAAAAAAATATAGAGTAGTGTAGTGAGATCCCAGTAGTAGAGAGAGAAAGAGAAAGATAGAGAGAGAGAGAGAGAGAGAGAGTATTTGTATTTGAGAGTATAGTGTGTTTGTACCACTAAAAAAATAATAACAATATATTTCTCAGTGTCCACCACTCCTCTCAACTCAGCAAGTGGTATCAGAGCCTAAATTAGGGTGTGTGTATCTGCTTATCATGTGCTCTGTGGCTGCCACCAAAGGTGGATCCTCCACATCAGAAAATAAGTTAGATTATCATTTACTCTTTGAAGGCACTGATACTATTCACGAGTACGGTACTATTCATAAGTATGTGTACTATTCACGAATATGGTTACTATTTATAAGTAACGTGAATAGTAAAAGTTGTAGCTCGTGACAGAAGCAAGGCGGTCAGGGACATGTTCTCTCCTACGGTGATGCTATTGGTATTATTGAAAGCCGAAGTTCGTGCTCAGTCAGGGACTGTGAAGTTGGTTGGTCAGGAACCAGACTTGCCTAGAGATACTGAAGCAGTACTACGTCACAATGACGGATCTAGCAAGTACAACTACTGCACTCAAGAAACTCAATGGCAATAACTACAGCTATTGGGAGATGTGTATGAAGCCTTATTTACAAGGACAAGATCTATGGGAGGTCATCAGGGGTGCTAAAACTACAATACCTCGGGAGGCTAGTGAAGTACTAAGGAAGTGGAACATTAAAGCCGGCAAGGTTATGTATGTGCTGAAGACAACAGTAGAAGAAGATCTCGTAGATTACATGTGAGATGCCAGAACTCCGAAGGAGGTATGAGATACGCTCGCCACTCTTTTCGAAGAAGAATGATGCTTGACTTCAACTCCTGGAGAATCAATTGATGACCGTGCAACAGAAGGATTTGATAATTAGTCAGTACTTCAAGCAAGTAAAATTACTTTGTTCAGATATTGCTCAACTAGATCCAGATTCGAAAGTATCTGATGCAAGGATGAGGAGAATAATCATTCACGGTTTGAGACCGAAATATCACGGACTCGTTGCTGCTACACACGGGTAGCCGACTCAACCAACATTATTAGAGTTGGAGAGTCTGCTTGCTACACAGGAAACCCTAGCTAAACAAATGGTTGGCGTTTTAATAAAAAGCAAAGATGAAGCACTCTTCAGCAGCAAGGAGAGAGGCAAACCAAGAGGCACGAGGAAAGAGGAGTATGGAAAGGTTCAAGGAGGCGGCCAGGTCAGCCATACACTGACAGAACACAACAGCGTGAGGAGCAAGGTGATCGTCGAGCAAGGAGACCGGATAGTAGCTGTTACAATTGTGGGAAGAAAGGACACTTTGCCTAAGACTGCCACTATAAGAGGAGGCGAGCAGAGGGCAATGCTACGACATCGCACATGTGTCAAGATGATGAAGAAGAATGAGATGCCCAAGCATCTGTGGCCATCATTGAAGATGTATTAGTTGATGAAGACAAGGTTGTTGGTATGGCACTAACCTCGATTGTGGAAGAATCTGAGTCCGCATTTGTAGTGGTTACAGATCAAGAAGAAATCAGCTATAATAAAGATTGGGTCGTTGATTCTGGTTGTTCTAATCACATGACGGGAGGTAAGGGGAAACTTTTCAACATGAAGGAGTATAAAGGCGGTCAAGAAGTTGTGATAGCGAATAATTCAAGATTACCTATCACACACATCGAAAAGACTGCATTTACACCGCGCTACAACCCGAATCGGATACAACTACAAGATGTATATCATGTACTGGGTATGAAAAAGAATCTTCTATCTGTTTCTCAATTAACAGCTTCTGGAAACTATGTAGTTTTTGTGCCACAAGATGTAAAAGTCTATTGAAACTTGAAGCCATCAGGAGAACTTGTCATGGAGGGACGAAAGGTAGAATCTATCTATGTGATGTCAGCAGAATCGGCATACATAGATAAAGCCAAAAAGAATGAGACAGCTGCTTTGTGGCATACTCAGCTTGGCGATGTGAGCCATCACAAGCTCAAGATCATGATGGGAAAGTCAATGTTAAAGGGTCTTCCACACTTAGTGATCATATGCGGAGGTTGTCAGTACGGTAAGGCGCATCAATTACCATATCACGATTCACTGTTCAGAGACAAGGAACCTTTGGAACTTGTACACTCAGATGTATTTGGTCAAGTAAAATAAGAATCAATCGGTGGGATGCGGTACATGATCACTTTCATCGATGATTACTCTGTAGAAAATTGTAATTGCTGAATAATGGCATAGTCTTTTTCATTGATGTTAGGAGATATTTATAGGATTACAAGAGAATCAATTAGTTACATAAAATCTAAAACTACTTAATTAGTTACATAATTGTTGAAACTAAAAGGGGTAAGAGATCTGTCGAGATATTAACAGAATATCATACAATAGGAAAGAATCACAAGGCGTGTCGACTGACACCGCAGGGCGTGTCGACTAAGACCGCCTTTCATGTCGACACAAATGATGTCGTCTCGTTCAATTGGGCTTCGTGTCGACTGACATCGCAGAGTCGACTAAGACCGACTTTCAAGTCGACTCAGGGGGTGTCGTCTCATCTGGTGGTCTCGTTCGGTCTTCGTGTCGACTGACACCGCAGAGTCGACTAAGACAGTCTTTCAACTCGACACAGGGGGTGTCATCTCGTCTGGTGATCTCGTTAGGTCGGGCTTCGTGTCGACTGGCTTTGAGTCGACTAGCACCGCCTTTCGAGTCAACACAGGGGGTGTCGTCATGTTTGGTCAGTTGCAATTCCTTAATATGCCCCCACAAGTTGGAGCTCCTTGAGGAGAGACCAATCTTGATTAGCAAGTTATGAAAACACGTGCGGGGTAGTGGTTTGGTGAGTGCATCAGCTAGTTGGTCAAGGGAAGAGACATGAGTGACTCTTAAGATGTCTTCTTGAACTTGTTCTCGAATGAAGGGAAAGTCAAGAGTCACATGTTTCATTCGAGAATGGAAGACCGGATTGGAGCAGAGATTTGTTGCGCCCACATTATCATAGTAGATTATCGGCATTCGAGAATGGAAGACCGGATTGGAGCAGAGATTTGTTGCGCCCACATTATCATAGTAGATTATCGGCTGTTGTGATGATGCGAACCCAAGTTCGCCAGAAGAGATGTGATCCATCTCAACTCGGCAGTCGTCGAAGCGATCGACCGGTACTCAGCTTTAGTCGAGGAGCGAGCCATTGTTCATTGTTTCTTCGAACTCCAGGATATCAGGTTTCGATCAAGATATACAATGTAGGCACTGGTGGATGTGAAGTCATCTTTGTTACCTGTCCAGTCGGCATCTAAGTAGGCGTGGAGAGCGAGAGGTGATTGACGATGTAACATAATGTCGTAATCACTGGTGCCACATAGATATCTGAGAAGTCTCTTGGTAGCGTTCCAATGGTCTGTAGTCGAACGATGCATGTATTGTGAAAGTTTGTTAACTACATAGGCAATGTCTGGACGAGTGAGGGAGAGATACTGAAGACTCCCAACTATAGCTTGGAACTCGGTTGGGTCAGTAAGGGTTGTACCCGACTGAAGTGTAAGGACGAGCAAGATGGCAAGTGGAGTTATGATAGTGCGAGCATCAGTCATCTTTGTTCGAGCTAGCAAGTCAGCAATGTATATTCGATGTGAGAGGAGAAGACCTTGAGGGCGAGAAACAACTTCAACTCCAAGGAAATAATCAAGTGGTCTAAGGTCTTTGAGCAAGAACCGACGTGCGAGAACTGAGATGAAGTCCTGAAGTGATGTAGCATTGTTGCCTCTGATGATAATGATGACATCAACGTAGACAAGTAACATGATAGTTATACTATTGTCATTGAGAATGAATAAGGAGGTGTCGGCAATGGAGTTCGAGAAGCGAGATGCAAGAAGGAACTGTTGAAGCTCATTGTACCATGCTCGAGGAGCTTGTTTGAGACCGTAGATCGCCTTCCGTAATCTGCAGACATGATGTGGGCTGTCGGCATCAACAAAACCTTGAGGTTGAGCCATGAAGACATCTTCAGTGAGAGTGCCTTGTAGAAAGGCATTGTTGACATCGAGTTGACGAAGATTTCAACCTCGGCTGACGGCAAGCGAGAGGACGAGACGAACTGTAGTCGGCTTTACAACCGGACTAAACATCTTATGGTTGTCCACTCTTGGTCTTTGGTGAAATCCCTTTGCCACTAAGCGAGCTTTGTACCTGTCTATAGAACCATCAGGTAAGCGCTTAAGTCGAAAATCCATTTACACCCCACAATATTTTGCACACCATTGGAAGGTACCAATTCCCAGGTGCCATTACGAACCAAGGCATCAAACTCCTCAAACATCGCCTATCGCCATATGCCATCTTTGATAGCCTGAGTTACAAATGTGGGTTCAATATCTGTGGTGAGTTGAGTAGAAAGGCTAAGTTTGTTGATAGTTTTGTGAATGTTGTTTCGGGAATAGGTGATGATATGCGAGGTGTGGGTTGAAGGTGGTGGTAATGGGTTGTCTGAGACTTGGACAGGTGTGGGTAAGGCCAGAGGAATGGCAGACAAGTTGCTAGGTGCTGGTTCAAGTATTAGGGCGGATAGTTGTGGAGGCAAGGTGTTTGTGGGGTAGGCGAAGTGCGAGGTGGGTTGGGAAGAGGGAGAGGGAGGGCGAGATGGAACCGACAAGGGTGCCAAATAGCAGTTTGTCTGGTCGAGTCCAATGCAGAAAATCTGGGTTGGGAGCTTCAACGTTGTTGGTGGTGATGGTGCGAGGAGGACATGGATGAGATCCATCTATGTATTTTTAGATGTCGTACCCGATGAGAATGGCACCAATCTAGAGTTTCCAAGCAATATAATTTGAGGAGGTCAATTTATGGATGGATTGATGAGAAGTGTTGATGAGTTGAAGGTTTTGGGTTGGATTTTCTGGGTTGGGGATGACAATGATCTGAGAATCAATCGACATGGTGAGGATTGCGGCTAGGGTTTGCAAAGGAGTGGTGGGAGGAGGTCTAGAATGGGAGGTCTAGAACTGCTCTGATACCATGTGGCTCTCGACTTTCACTTTATTCGAGAACAAGTTCAAGAAGGCATCTTAAGAATCACTCATGTCTCTTCAACGGACCAACTAGCTGATGCACTCACCAAACCACTATCCCGCACGCGTTTTCATAACTTGCTAATCAAGATTGGTCTCTCCTCAAGGAGCTCCAACTTGCGGGGGTATATTAGGGAATTACAACCGACCAGACGAGACGACACCCCCTATGTCGACTCGAAAGGCGGTCTTAGTCAACTCAGGGGGTGTCGTCTCATCTAGTGGTCTCGTTTGGTCTTCGTGTCAACTGACACCGCAGAGTCTGGGTTGATTTTATGAAGGAAAAGTCTGAAGCACTCTTCAAATTCCAAAAATTTCAAGATGAAGTCGAAGGAGAACTCGGCAAGAAGATTTGTTGCCTACGTACAGACAACGGGGGAGAGTACACATCTGTTGATGCTAAATATCACACAACCAATTAAAGTCACGAAGTTTATAAAAGAAAAGGGGGGCCGCTTTCTTCTTCGAGTCTATGCCTGATTCTGGAATTAGGATGGTCGAGCAATTTGCACACAAAGAATCGTAAGAGGGCGGGGATGAGTTCCCCTGTGATACCTCCGACGATCAAGTCAGTTGATGAACTTGAGTAGGGTCAAAGAAGAACTGTGTGTTCTTGTTTTTGTGTAGCGTGTGCTTTAGGGGGTTTTAGATTGCAAACATTTGGCTATGACGAATAGCACCTGTATTTATAGGGGATGCCAAGGATAGATTAGTCACTTCATGAGTGTACATTAAGACAGTGATGAGAGGTGAGCTAGAAGTTGAGTTTTCCTTTGCTCTACACGTGTTGGTTAGTGGGTGACGGGAGGTCACTTCAGCAACATTGTTAACTAGCAGTCTGACGAGTCTTTAAGACTGTTGAGGATGGAGACATAATGATGATCATCGAAGATTAAACAATGTTGAAAAGTGACACATGTGTCAATAGGTTCGAGGCAAGGGTAACCTCTTAGCTTCGTCGAGAAGCAAGGCCTATAATATCATATCTTCGAGTCGCTGACTCTCGTGTCGACTGACACCGCCTTTCGTGTCGACACAAGAGTGTCAGTTTGCCCGACTGGTCAGAATGTTATATTGTACCATCTAACAACCGTCTCTCGAGTCGATATAGAGATGTCGACTCGTCGGGGAAGTTAGGATCTCTCGTGCCGACCAACATCGCCTTTCGTGTCGACACAAGAGTGTTGGCTTGTCTGGCTAGTCAAAATATCAACTTATGAGATCATATATCCATGGAACAGATATACCCCGTAACAACATCGAAGGAGTTTTACAACTACCTCAAGCAACACAGGATTCGGCGACAGCTAACATGCCCAAATACTTCGTAGCAGAATGGTGTAGCCGAAAGAAAGAATCGTCACCTTGCCGAAATTTGCAGAAGTATGCTTCATGCCAAGAACGTACCAGGACTTTTTTGGGCCGAGTGTATGAAGATTGCGGATCACGAGATCAATCGGCTACCACAACCGAAGCTGGAGTTTATGTCACCCTTTCAGAAATTGTGGAATACCAACTCAACCATAAGCCATTTCAGAGTCTTCGGTTGTGTATGTTATGTCTTTGTGCCTGATCACTTACGTAACAAGTTTGATAAAAATGCTGTAAGATGTATATTTGTGTGGTATGATAATAAAAGAAAAAGGATGGAGATGTTGTGATCCCACAACCGGACAGTGCTACACATCAAGGAATGTTGTGTTTGACGAAGCCTCATCTTGGTGGACTCCACAAGAAGTTGTGATACTAGACTCTAATGATTTATAGGATCAGTTGCGGAAGAAGCAGGGAGAGCCAAGTCAAGAAGAAGAACTGAAGCAGTCAAAGAAGACAAAACCAAGTTCTTCAACATCCTCGAAGGACAAGAATCCATGGAAAACTGGTGTTCATCAGATAACATCAGAAGAGGAGCGCCCGAGTCAGATAGAGAACAGCGAAGAAGAACCAACTGAACAACTTCGAAGATCGACCAGACCCAGGAAGCCGAATCCAAGTATGCTAATGTGGCCATTACGAAAGATGTGAAAGAGTCATCTATCTTCAAAGAAGCATACTGAACCGATGAATGGAGAACAGTGAGAGAGGAAATCCAAGCATTGAAAAAGAAGCTAGATTTCTTAGACTTGTGGATTGAGAAGTCATTGCTGAGGAGGAGTATTAGGAATCAACAGCTCTCAAGCCTTCCTTCCCCACGTACCCCCACACCTAACGTGCTACAGTACCACCCCCATCTACCCCCATACCTAACTTGCTACAGTACCACATAAATCTGCCTATATATACACCCCCTAAGGGTTGTGTTAAGAATTATCACAAACCACTGAGAAAGAATAAAAAGGAAGAGTGAAGAGCTTGTGATCCAGAGGGGAAAATAAAGAGTAGTGTAGTGAGATCCTAGTAGGAGAGAGAGAAAGCGAAAGATAGAGAGAGAGTATTTGTATTTGAGAGTATAGTGTGTTTGTACCACTAAAAAATAATAACAATATATTTCTCAGTGTCCATCACTCCTCTCAACTCAACATTGTCTACTAGTTTTAGAATGTTTTGTATATATGGAAAGGGCCAAAAAGGAATCAAAGAGGCTTTGCAGTCGGAAGTGTAATGACAAGAAAATTTGAGAACTACAATTGATCCTCATGGGATGGACTTTACTCATCTCACATCATCTCATGGGATGCGATGCACCAAGAAAATTTGGAATAATTGGAGTTTCCAGCAAAAAGGAATTAGGAAAGCACCTCTCCTTGCACGCCCATAAGAGTTCTCTTTAAACCTTCCCATAGTAAATGTCCATGTGTGCTGTGATTGGCTCCAATGCTAAAGAAGACATAGTTCCCTATTTTCCATGAGTTTTCTCAACCGAAGACACTGCAGTACTTTTTGTGAGCTAACCCCGTTGCAGGAATACCTTACAAATTTAGATCAGGCTGGCCTTATAAACTTACGTAGTAGTTGGTGGGAAATAGCCAGGTGTTTCAGCTCATAAAAGACCCAAAAAAAGGAAAGGAGATAGAATAAGAGGTATCTGAACAGCGGCAATAATGGCAAAAGAGTCGGGAACAAGCGGATACTGCCGACAGTCATTGTCGACGGTTAGAATCAGAGCGGAGACCGCCGACGGCCACCACCGATGGTCCATAGTCGAAACTGGGTCAAACCCAGTTCTGATTTTGGAGTCGTTTTCTTTCGGAGTGCTTTTGTATTTGGAATTCTACTATTTATAGATTTTTTTGTGAGGTCTAGAATTTGAGGGAAATCAAGAATGGCTGCGTACTGTAAGAGAGAAGTTGAGAGAGCTTAGGAGAGGAATCTAGGTTTTTTTTAGAGATCTTTTGGTGCGAATGAGAGAGGGTTTCTCGTGGGATCTGTCAAGTTAGGTTGTATCTTATGATATAAAGAAAACTCAAATCTTTTCTCGTGGGCTTGTCATATTTTCTCCTGTATATTATTATTCTCTTTTGTTTAAGCTAGCTAGTAGTTTTTTGAAGTTTTAGTCGGGTGTTCGGTAATGCTTTAGCAAGCTAGGCTTCCGCATTGATCACTGGATTGGTGCACAATGATCATGTTTACAATTCACAAAACAAATGTAAAATTGAATCATGTCAGCAACTTTGGTCTCCTTATTACTTCATGTTTTCTATTAACTAGAGAGGAAAAACACAAGCACGAGTTTGAGGATCTTGAACATGTTGCCATAGGAGAGAAAAGAGCTAATTATTTCTCATGTGTATATTATTGGGTGTAATATGCATTTTTTAATGCGAGGAATCTTGACTGGGTTATCAGATATCAGAGAGAAGCCCCTCGTTCGACTCATCAATTTGGACAATTATGGGAACTACAGCGGAGCTCACGGTCAATACTTCTGACCTAGAATCGTTTTAAGGTTATTTGTGGGGGCTATCGAGGAGAGGGACACATCTAGCCCA